GGAGGAAAACACGGAGTCTGGACAGGTCTAGGAAGGTGTGGGGGGTGGCCTTCCCGGAGCGAGCCGGTTCTCCTCCTTCACGGTCCTCCCCGGGGGCCCTGGCAGCCATGCCCACTGGCAGGATGGGCCTCCTCTCAGGGACCTTTCCTCTGGGAAGGCCTCCAGAGCCCCGTTCAACAAGCTGAGCACCGAGTCCCTCTGCCTCTCATATTTTTGTCTGTGGGATTATTATTTTTGTCTGTGGGATTATTTCGTAATGTCTGTCCTTCTCTACCAGACTCTAAAGCTGTGGGACGTGAGCCACAAGTGTGAGTCACGCGTAACTTTAATTTTCTAGTTACATTAACTTTTCTGTTACGCATTTTAAAAGTTGGCAGGTGAAATCAGTTTCAGTAATATGTCCAAAATATTGTCATTTCAATATGTAATCAGTTTTAAAGTATTTATGAGCTGTTTTGAATATTTTTAATAAATGAATAAGTAGATCCTTTTCAGACTGCACTCTCAGTCTGAAATTTGACACTCACAGCGCATCTCACATTTCAAGTGCCCCGTTGCCCCTGTGGCTGCTGGTGGCCCTCTAGACAGTGTGAGCCTAGAACATATGACCTTCAGCTATCTCGTGTCCCCAGCGCACAACTCATTCTCAGGAAATATCTGTCCACAAATGAATGAACTGAAAGTCTCTGAAGTACTGAACATACATAGAAAAATGTGACTAATGGTTGCCCCTAGGTGGAGGAATTGAAGGTCATTTTTATTCACCTCTTTGTGATTTCCTGTATTTTTCAAATTTTCTAATGACCATTTACCATTTTTTTAATTAGAAAAAAAAAATAGTTACTTTAAAAAGTAACCCACCCATGGGACTTGGGAAGAAGGGGGTAGCTGGGGCTAAAAAAAAAAATAAGTAAAAAAATAAAATAAATAAAAAGTAACCGACCCGTGAATGCGCGGCCCAGGCTGAGCTAACGCTGTCGTGCTGTCACCGAATTCCAGGCGACCGGAACACGGAGAAGGAAGATGGCAACGAGATGGTGCACGAGGTGGAAATGATCATAAAGCACAACAAGTTTAACAAGGAGAACTATAACTACGACATCGCCGTCCTCAGGCTGAAGACGCCCATCACATTCCGCATGAACGTGGCTCCTGCTTGCCTGCCCGAGAAGGACTGGGCGGAGTCCACGCTCATGACCCAGAAGTCGGGCATCGTGAGCGGCTTCGGGCGCACCCATGAGAAGGGCCGCCCCTCCGTCACCCTCAAGATGCTGGAAGTGCCCTACGTGGACAGGAACACGTGCAAGCTGTCCACCAGCTCCACCATCACCCAAAACATGTTCTGCGCCGGCTATGACACAAAGCCCGAGGACGCCTGTCAGGGGGACAGCGGGGGTCCCCACGTCACCCGGTTCAAGGACACCTACTTTATCACGGGCATCGTCAGCTGGGGGGAAGGGTGTGCGCACAAAGGAAAGTTCGGGATCTATACCAAAGTCACCAACTTCCTCAGGTGGATCGACAAGTCCATGAAAGTCAAGGCCCCAGCCCAGGGTGATGGGGTCGTCTCTGTAGCTCCCGTCCCATTAGATTGATTCCACCCAACACCCACTAGCAGCCACTGGTGTCTCGTGTTCTCTTAACGTTTGCCACTCTGAACAGGCTGAATCCTGGAATAAGCTTCCTGTCTGCGGTGATTGTGTCCGTTCCTCATCCTGGTCTTGCTCTTGCTCTGCTGAAGTGGGAAATGAAATTTTCACCTGGGACCCTAGGTCCTGCCTCTCGCTCACCAGGCTGGGTGATTCCTCCTGGAAATGTTATACTTTATAAAACAGGGGTTTACACTCCTCAGGATGGCTCCTGTGCTCAAAACCGCGAGGGGGCCGATTCTATTCATGACGTGTTTTTCTGTTTCTGATTGACCTAAACCGCCCCCTTGGATGGGCCTCGCCCAGTACACTTGAGAATAAGTGGCCGAGGTTCTGGGAGCACAGAGAGAAGCCACAGCAAGAGCCAGACCGCGCTGGGTGGCCTCAGCCTGGTGTCAGGGTGGGGTTCTTCACCGGTGCCTGTCATCCACCTGGGACTGAGACAAGGGGGGGAATGTTCCTCCAGGGGCTTCCGGTGAAAGGCAGACTCCCTGGGTCAGGGGCCCCAGAGAGCTTCTCATTAGCGGGGACGTTTAACTCTAGCTCTTTCTTTCTGGCTTTGTGCTAGAATCACTCGGGGCAATTTTATTTTATTTTCTTTTTTTAATCCTCACACAAGAACATGTTTGTTTTTATCAATTTTTAGAGAGAGGAAGAGAGAGAGGACAGAGAGAGAGAGAAAAACATTGATATGAGAGAGAAGCATTGATCTGTTGCCTCCCGTATTTGCCCTGACCAAGGATTGAACCCACAACCTGGATATGTGCCCTGACCAGGAATCGAACCCACAACCTTTTGGTGCACAGGATGATGCTCCAACCAACCGAAGTCTTTTCCCACCGGCTCCAGGCCCTCAACTTAAATGGTCATGAAAACCAAACGTGCTTTATGAAAACGGGAAAGGTCACCTCAGTCCGGACCAGTGTGTTCCAAAAGCCCTGATATAGTTTGCATTTTGCGTAACCTTGCTAAGCAAACTTTCAAAGTTCCACTACAAAAACTTGCCAAAATGTCAGTAGCTTTTTTTTTTTTTTTTTAAACCAGGACACATTGCAAGGTTCGAGTGTATTGTAAACAAGAGACATTGCAAGGTTAGAAAAATCAGTGTGGGCAGGTATGCAATTTCCCAGAAACAGTCTGAGGAGAGCAGGAAAGCTAAGGGTGGTGTTCCTCCTCTTGCCTGCCTTGACTCCTCCTCAGAGTGAGTCACCACCCGGCGGGCTCCCCAGGCCCTTCCTGGAGAAAAGGCCTCAGATGGCAGGAGACCACCGTGTTGTGAGACTGAGGGTGTTCTATGCAGCTGACCAGTCTCTGGCCCGAGGCACACCCCAGGCTTGGGTTCCTGTTTCTGAGATCAAAAGCTGTTTGGGGTCCACAGAGAACTCAGGGGAAGATTCACAAATAAAGCCTACCTTTGGTGTTACTGCTTGATCTCTCACTGTTGGGCACTATTACTGGCAATAGAGCTCATGTATGTATCAGAGAGGAAGGGAAACTGAGGCACAACAGAGAGAAGGGCAGAAGGAGCCTCCATGGGTCTGAATTCAAGTCAGTGAAGTTCTAGAGTAAATAGGGGAAGGGGTGCAGTTAGATGCCGCGGGGAAGGCCCTGGTCTGGGGCTCACAGATGGGGGTTCATCCCAGCTCTACACATTCCTGTGTGCCCTGCAACAGCTTGATTCCATCTCTGAGTATCACTATCCTCATGGGAAAGAGCTAATGAAGCCACCTACCTACATGCTAACCCTAAACATGGGTCACGGCTTGTGTGGGAGGGACATTCATTCCCTTACCTGCTACCACCAGGGCTGCTTGGTGTGGAAGGTGAGGCCCTGAGAGCAGAGAGCAGAGGAAGCCAACGGTGAGGAACCAGAGAGGGGGACAGAGTCAGGGTTGGATGTGTTTCTTCTCAGAGGAAGGGAGAGGTTGCAACACTCCAATAAAACCATGTATGCCCGCATGCACACGCACACACACACGCACACGCACACGCACACGCACACACACACGCTCAGTTCCTGGGGGTAGAAGAATGAAGGTGACAGCCATGGAGCACACTCACCCAGCAACAGGGAGGGGATTCTGGATGGTTATATTAGGTTTAAGAGGACAGGTAGGCCCAGCAGAGTGTTAGGAGGCAAAGGGGGGTGCGAGCCAGCTGCACGGGGGGCCAGGCCCGGCGCAGCGGCTTCAGAGCCAGTGGTGGCAGTAGGTTGGCAAGAGCACAGATGGTCTTCCACATGCAGGGCCTGCTGCCTCACTCAGGGTCTGTCCGGGCCTGAGGCCCTCCCTGCAGGCATGGGGCACAAAGGCTGAGGCAGGAGGAGCGAAGGGACCGCGGAGTGTGGGAGTGGCTGCTCTCCGGCCCCACGGAGCCATCTAAACGGGAACTGGAGGGTTTCAGTTTCCATTTAGGGCCCTGCTGCCTCAGCCACCGCAGGAATCACTGACTGGGGCAAGCAACCAAGGAACGCCAAAACCCTTGTGGAAAAAAGTCCTTGAGAAACAAGCTATTTAGTCTCAGAGCATCACCCCAGAAATGACTGTTTAATTATAAACAGGACTGGGTCGCTTTATAATGGTGGGATCTGTGCGCAGGTTATCCTGTGGCTGACGTGACAGCAGGCGTGCCCTGACGCAGTGTAGCGGGAAGGGCACACGCACATCACCGCTGCAGGGCTCGCCCCGAGTCTGTGCGGCGTCGACCGGGCAAATCCCACTGACGAAGGCCTGCATGCCCCAGCAATGTCAGTGTCGAAAGCCCCAAAACATCCGGGAAACTATGTGAATTGAGACTTTGAAGGAAACAAACAGGCTGCAGTGAGAGAAAGATGGCCACAGGAGGTTCTCATCAGATGTCCCTTAAGAGAAGGGTTCCCGTGTATATGGGGGTGCAGGGGAGAGGAGGGAAGGAGAGAGACAGAGTTGGAGAGACAGAGAGCCTGCATCCACTGGGGGTCTATCCCTTGTGCTGAACCACTCAGGGAGTGTGAGACCAGGAATCAGTAGAGGGTGGGGTGTGAATCTGATGTCCCCTCAGACTATTTTATCATCGAATGGTGCTGAGTGTGATTTTTGGTTCAAGGACAAACTTAGTTCTTACAAAAATGTCCCCTAGGTCGACTCTTCCACATGGCACTTGTCGCCTCAGGAAACCTGGCTCAACAGGTCTCACCTAGAACTAGGTGCGGCCCCATTGCTGGGGTTGACTGTCTAGCTCTTTACAGAAAAGCTTGCTGACCCCTGGCCCACCCCATCTAAGTTCCAGTTCTCTCTAAGCTCCCAGGGCCTCTGCTGCCCTCCTGTGGACGCCCTCCCCACACTGACCTCCTTGCTGTGCTCCAGGAAGCGGCGCCCCCTTCCTCAGGGCCTTGGCACCATGCCCTCCAGGGTCTTTCCCTGTCACCCTCCACACCCTTCCCCTGCTCCGTAAGCTCCTGAGGCTCACTGTGTTCAGATTTCTCTCCCAAAGGGAGCCTCTGTGATGGGCTTGTCAGAAATGGCCCCATATTGCTCTGTACCTGCTAATCTGCTCTTCTTTTTTTTTTCTTTCTTTTTTTTAATTTTTAAATTTTATTTTTGTTTAAAATATTACAGATGTCCCTTTTTCTCCCCAATGGCCCGTTCCACCCCATCCCATCCCCCTCCCCAGTCCCTCTCCCCACCATTGTCCGTGTCCTTGGGTTGTGCATATATGCATATAAATTCTTTGGTTACTCTCTCCCCCTCCACCCACCCGCCCTCCTCCATCCCTCC